ACTTTTTAGAGAAGAGTGAGTAGGAGTTTGTGATTAAGACATTTTTATAGAGGTAAGATTTTACCAGATAGGATAAAATGAAAAAGGTTTCTAAGTAGGCAGAGTAATGAATGAAAAACACTGTCGCAATGAGGGTGCTGATAGGCACAGTAACATATATACTGTGTAGGGGAAATCTATAGATGGATGTTAGGACAGCAATGGTGATGCAAAATACGCAGCTGTTGAGAAAAGACTAAGTAGCACTAAGAAACAATGATTTTTTTCTGAACGTACTCTTGGTCACCAAGAAAGTGCAAAAATTACACTGCAGGTAGGATTTAGGCTTTGAAATCTAAAACTCTCTTGCCTAAACCAAACCCTTGCCTAACCTTACATGTATAAATATCCCAATGCACCTGTATCTAGCTGAAGATGTCCATGCTCGTTGCAGGAGGGTTGGACTACATTCGTTAGGCATCCCTTCCAACCCAAACTATTCTATGCTTCTATGTATTTCATTGATTCTCAAGGTTTTTAGAGTTGGCACAACTGGAGGTATAGCTTCACAATATCCAAACTGAAATAAACCTGTCCATAATAAACACTGCAATGCATATATACCAATCCTCAGTCTGATTGGATTTGATGGACGAGAAAGTTTCTGAAGCCTAATAATTCAGCTTTTCCTAAATTCCATAGTTAGGGGAAGCCCAGGATTGAGGTACCTGCTTCACAGATGGTTTTGGGTTTGGTCAGTGGTAGCCAAGAGTAAAACCACAAAACGAGTCCTGGAAGCAGGAACAAGAAGTTAAGTTCTCCAGTGTGGTAGGGAACCAGATTTCAGCACTTTGGCCCTGACAGTCTTTGGCTATACATTGGCACAGCTTCAACAGGAGGAGAAGAGAGCACCACTCCCAGAAAAGTAGCTGCCATTTGATCGCCATGATTGTTTTTATTAAGTAGGCAGAGTATGTTCTAATCTCTAGTTTGAGGGAGACATGTGATGCCTGGCATGTAAGAGTTCCTCCACTTGTTTAAAGGTAGTTTGCAAGAGATGGCTTAGCTCCCAGCTTCACAGGGGGATTTCTGTCTGAAATGGGTACCTAACGTACCTAAGTCACCCTTACCGGTACAAACTCCACTCTGAAGTATCCAACTTTCACAGACACAGGGATTTCATTCACTTTTGCTACCATTCACCTAAACATTTCTAGATCCAGCTTATGTACTTGGATATACTTGACCCCTTTGTCTAGGAGTTACCTTGCAGCCAGTAGTAGCTGTAATTAATTGCTGGGCTGTACTGGAGACCTTTGGAAGCATCCTTACCAAAAATATGCTCATGAAGTGTCACCTCCCTTACTTACTACAATTGATATTAACCATAAAATCAATTTATACTTCCTTTCAAAGCATAGATTGTAGTCTATGGGCCTCAATTTAAATTTCTTCTTTTCTAAAGCATTGAGAAGGACTCAAAAATCTGTAAGTTATTGTTTCATATCTGATTATCATTTGAATAATAAAAAGACTCTGCAGTGTAGCAGAATGAAATATTGTTTTCTAAATTACTTTTTTTTTATTTTATTGGGCATGTAATATACCTGTCAACAGCTTAAATCCTTCCACTGAGCACAGCAGCATGTTCCTTACTACAGCAAAATATCAAGAAGAAAAAAAAGCAATAAAAAAATCCATTAAATATAAGTATGAAATATTAGTTAAATTCACCTTGCTGGTTTGAAAAGGCAGTAGCAACTTTCTCTGTGGTAAGCACAAGCATGTTTCCATAAACATGTAGGAGACAGTGCATTCTTGCTTGTATAGGCAGTAGCTCAGATTAATTTCTAGATGACTGTAATCAATATCTGAAGAAGCATCTGAATTAAACTGACAACCCCAAATCCCACATATCATTTTACACATCATAATTTGCAACACTGCTGCCAAATAAATCACTTCCAGAGCAAAGTATCATGCAGTACATCCTTTTCATTACTGACATTTGCTTGAATGCACAGTTCCTAGGCCTGCAAAATTAACAAAACTTGCAGTACTGTATTACTAAGGCTACAGGACTGGAATGGTAATATGGCATATTTACCGTATATACAATTTAATTATTAAACAATCATATTTTTAATGAAATGCTGCTCTACGATTACCTTTAGTGAATTTTGCTTGCACTAATGTATCCATTATTCTACCATTAGCAAGATCATGTTTGAAATAAACTGGTAGAAATGTATTTTAACCCACTCTTGGGAAAAACAGCTATAAGAAAGGTTACTCTTTGACTGCTTATGTGAATTATTTCCTTATGTCAGATCATTATGCAGAAATAAAAGCTGTGGTCAGCCCACTTAAAATTCCATTTGATTTCTCCTGGGAGTGGAAAACCTTTGTATTATTTTTCGTGCTCTGAACATTCTTCTGAACATTTACTAGAAGGCTGTAAACTATCAGTAATTTTAAAGGAAGGGAGTAGTGTTATCAGATTCAAGAAAATAGGTAAAACTATGGCTGATCAAGGATCATGACTTCTATTGTTTCACAGCATTGCTCTAACTGCAGTTCAGGGGATTTTAAGAAAAAATGGATGAGAGATTTACTTATGCTTACTGATGTTTCAGTGATACCTCTGTTCCAGGTAAGGATTCTTGCAGAATAGAGGATTTATTTTCTTTAGATGATATCTAGACTGTTACTTGTTGAGTTTAATTTCTCAGAAAGAGACTAAGGGCAACAGAAAGGTCAAGGCCAAATAGGAATTGAAAGGGACCTCACCATGAACAATCTCACCAACTGGGGCTGCTTCTAACTGAAGTACTAAGAAAAGGGTTTAGAAATAGAGAGCTCCTCCAGTGACTTAATCCCAAGTCACATAATTAGACTCTCTGCACTAATGGCTAGCTTTCTTGCTATAGCAAAAATGACCCTGTTTCTTTTGGTCACAATTAATGATGACAGAAGAATAAAAATGTATCTTAACGTACTGCTGTTGAATGCATGCCTATGAATACCTATGGCAGAATGTGGGCTGAAGAAACTTTTTTAGTTCCATGTTTTAATGTTGCCTGATAATTAATAGGATCAAAGCTCTACACCACAATCACTCAAATCCACCCAGTTAGTCCTAGGACTATTTAGTCTTATGATCTCTAGACTTAAGGTTGTGCAACTTAAGCAACTTGCTATAAATTATTCTGGAGTTACAGGCTCTAGGGTCAAAAACAACAAACACAGTGTTCACAGAGAGAAGTCTGGTGTTGCACACATTCCAGTGAAACTCTCTAAGGAACTGGCAAGAGTAAAAGTATAAATGATGGCAGTGATAAGTGGATTTGCTAAAGTTCTTCAACAAAGTCCCTTCTCATAGTCTCTTAAGGAAATTAAACTGTCATAAGACAGGCAGGCAGGATTTCCTGAATCTAGTTAGAGGATAAATATATGAAATAGGAATACAACTTGACAAAGCAAGGACCCCTTAAAATCAGTGTTGGGATCAGACATTCTAGTGATCTGGAAGGTGCTATTGGTTTTTCAGAATGATCAAAAATGCAGATGACTGTGGGAGATCCCACAAGATTTGGTGATACAGTAATGAAAAGTTGGATGAAATTCAGCGTTGATAAAATGCTAGGTGGGTACACAGAGGAAGCACAACACTAACTACCCTCACGAGTATAGCATGAGTGCTCTTTATTTATTCTATTACCACTGAAAAGGGATTGTGGTGAAGCAGCAAAAAAATCTCAGGAAACATAGTTCAGTGGCACTCAAAACATAAAACAAAACAAAAGTAAGCAGATACCTTTGTGTTTAAGAGGGGGATAAAGAAAAATTGAACAATTAGTACTATAGCTTGAATATATCTAGTCATCCCATTCCAAAAGGAAACAGAAAAGATGTAGAGTAGCAGGATAAGGATGTTCAGAAATAAAAATTGGCATCCTCTGGGAGGAAAACCATATGAATGAAGACCCATCAGCAAGCAAAGAGCTGGAAGAACTTTGTGCAATTATGAGTACTAACAGAGATAAAAAATTGGGGAACAACTGTTCATTTCTCAAAATAAAAACACCAGGAAGCACTAAGTGAAATTAACAGTAAAATAAAGCATTTTTCACAAACACATGATGAAATTACGGCATTTAGTGCCACAGGATGTCGTAGTATGGACAGTACAAACAGGTTCATATTGGGTATGAGTGAAGTAATGGACAATTGCCAGCTGACAGCTAATAAACGGGCTGTACTGGCTGCAACACCTGGTTCTGGTGGTTCTTAAGCTACTGATTACCATAAGCCATGAAAACACAGGCGGAAAGTCATCCTCTGTGCCTCCTGTGTCCTTTCCTAAGCATCTGCCCCGACTGCTACCTGACCTTTGGCAAGGCTATTCTTATCACATTAAGTAAACTGTTAGTTCTCCCAGTCACAAATGTTTCCCTTAAAGACCCAGCAGGAATGACTCAAAGTCACTTTAGATATTAACCCTTTGAAACACTTTGTGCTGCTTCTTTCTATACTCTGCCTACAGCCTTCCTATGCTGCTCCAAACTGACGGCAAAACAAATTCTACAAGAAAAATTTACACTGTAAAGTAAACTTTGAGAAGTTAATTGTCGATAACTCAAATAGCTGTCTTCAAGCTCTGAGGCCGGAGCAGCCCAGCCCTGCTGCCGGGGCAGTACAGCTTTTCTCCTGGGGCACTACGAATAGCCTGACTTCGCATTTATTGAGCTCAATTTGTTGCACGCTGTGCAACATCTCCAGACACCGCTGTTTCTGTCAGACACCCTCGAAACCCCTGCGGCGATCGCTGAGCCCTCTCCCTCTGTTAACCCTGCCAGCGGCAGCAGCAGCCCCCAGCCGGCACCCCCCAGGGTCTACTCTGTGCGGTGGCCTCTGAGGGGTCCGGCCGGGACCTGCCCTTCGTGGGGTTCCCGCCCCGGCGGGAAGCGGCTCTCCCTCCGGGCGCTTTCCCCGCCTCCTGCCGCCTCCGCTGGTGCGGCGGGGTGGCCAGGGGCAGCCTCGGCACCGGCAGTCACTCCGTCTCTCGCCTCGCAGGTCTCCGGAGCGGGCGGGGCGGGCTCTACTCGGAGCCGGGCGGGCGGGCGCCATGAAGCGCTCTCTGTTGCGGCTCTGCCAGTCGCGGGAGAAAGCGGCCGTGTCCAGCTCCTACCAGGGCGTCGTCTGCGAGGCGGATGCCGCCTCCGTCGCCTCGCAGGATGTCTTCAAGGTGCGTGCGGAGGGGCGCGGGGAGGGAGGCGGGTGTGAGGGGACAGTCTCGGGGAGCCGAGCTCCTGAGGCACCCAGGCAGCGTGGGACGAAGTGATGCGTAACACTGGGGCTCGTGTGAGGGCGCTGGGCCAGGGAGGGATGAAGGTGGAGGGTGTGAGAGGTGGGGCTCTGGAAGTAGCTGCGCAGGTTGTGTGCCAGACACCCTTTCCTCCAGGAGACCCTTTCCCCTCACTCATCAGTGGAGCATTGAGGGAAGAGCTGTGGGAGGCAGGCTGGGAGCCACCTTGGCCGTCGGGCATGAATACACAAGAGCTCTGGCGTTATGTGGAAGAGTCAGGACCAGGGGTAGCCAGAACACAGGAGGGGAGCAGGAAAAGGAGGATGTGGGTGGTGAGTGCAGATGGCTGCTATGGGGCTCACATCCCCCCTGGGTACAGCTCCCCAGAAAGAGCCCTTAGAGGATTGTCCAGAAGTCATGATGGGAATGAGTAGTCCATCTAGCAAAAACGTCCTGAAAGGAAAGTTTATAAGCACTGGAACTGTTATGAAGGAAAAGAGAACCAGCAGCAAAACCTGCAAATGAGAAATTGTTGCCAGGAAGGATATAACATCTTCCCTTTTCCATAGAGAACAGGACAAGAAGTGATGTATTTATATTGCAGGTAGGGTGACCTAGACCAAACATTAAGGAAACCTTTTTTAAGGGGAAGAATAATAAAGCAAAATAAGAGGGTGCTTATTGGATGGATGGCTTGGGTAACTTTGGTGATTTTTTAAAAGCAGACTAAACAAATTTGACAAAGTATGTGGATGGGTTTAAAGACCTATCAAGGTCTTTTTCAGTCTTGTTTAATGTTTGCTAGCTGTAGTCCTGAGCAGCACCTCTTGTCACTCCAGTGGATGATGTGCCGCTACAGAACTTTTCAGGTGAAAGGCAAAGAAGCTGTTGCTGTTTAAAATAGTTTGTTTTGCTGCTTTGGACCAACCAAAGTACTGGGAACACCTAACTGATTTCTTTCTTTCCTATTTTGTTAATGAAGCACTGCAATATTGGCTGAAAAATCTTATTTTTGTTTATAGAAATTATCAACGTGCCCTATTTCGGCCACATTGTGTCTTACATTGACAAAAAAATCCAATGTAAAGAGTGGTGAAATGTGGTCAAAATCAATAGATTTGGAATTTGCTACCATTAAAATTAAATTAGGAAGTTAGAAGGAGTGGAAGATAATAGGCTCTGAAATAAGTTTTTCTTAAGTAGCTTTTTGATGTGTATAAAATGTATAGGTATTTGTGTATGTAATTGACGTCTTATTTTTATGACAGTTGAGTCATCTTAAGTACCCTTTCCACAATGATATTGCCTGTTTTCTATTAGCTTTCTCTGACTGCACTTTTGAAGGAGATGCTACCCCTGTATTTGTCCCCAGTGTTCTAAATCTGTAACACATTTGTAGCATTTTTGACATTACTGAGTTCAACGGGACTATTAAACTGAAGGAAGTTAAACATGTGCTAAATGCATGAATGGACTGCTCCATAATGTGTGCTTGTTTGATGACGGCAAAAACTGTTGTGTCTTTGTCGTTCAGGGGAGCAAAGTTTTCCTTTTCTTTTGCAGATGAGGAGGGAACAGTGATTTTAGGGGATTTCCTTTTTTTTTTTACCCTTTTCTTGCTTACATATCTTTGAGAAGTTTTGCATTACTTTTGATACCTGTTTTTATCTTTTTTTTTCTTCCAATTTTGTTGAACATTTTTTCCTTTTTATTCCCTCTTAACTTTTTAATACTTGTTTTTAAATTCCTGCCCATTCTACTGCAGTCACTTTTTTTTCCATCACTTCTTTTCATATACAAGTATAGATCTTGAAACACTGACAAAAATATTCAGAGATCTTCATAAAGTAAGAATCAGCAGGCCTTCTATAGTTGGTTTAGGATGCAAAGCATGCTCCCCAGGGAGGTATTAGGGTATCAGTGGGCTGACCTGTCAGAGGGGGTTTTATTGTATTATACTGTGAAGTCTCGGGGTTGTTTCAGACTGAGATGATAGCCCATGGGATGCCCTTAGGATACTGCAGAAATTAAGAATTTAGTGGCTACTCTGACATAAAGAACAACAAAGAAACCCAGTGGCTGAACTTGACAGCCCACTAGTCTCTGTAGAAAAACCTAGACAAAGAATTTATCAAGATTATTAATTTTTCCTCTCTGTTGAATTGATTTGATGTGGTCATACCTGGAGAGAGTATAAAACAGTAAGTTATAAATTTGCTTGTTTGAGATTTATCATAGTGGAGGGAGAATCTTGAACTCTCTACAGAAGATAAAATTATGTATTCAAGATAATTTCAATCTTTTGTATATTTTGTGCTGTTTCTCATCTGCGCCAGGCTTTGCGGTCAATTAAATCAGTCTTGAGTTTCACTGTTGGTTCAGTGTGATCAGGATTTGTATACTTCTGTATGAAACTAAACACCTGGGAGAGAATTATAGCATTGTTAACATCTTGCCTGTTAGAAAAATGGAAAATTAGACTGTTTTTGTCCAATATAGGTTATTTCAGATGGAAGTGCCTGTAGGCTACGGAGCTTCATTAAGAAGAACCGTTCTGGGCTTACCAAAGTGGATGACTTAAATGCCACCCCACTGCATCACGCTGCAGAAGGAGGACAAATAGAATTAATGCAGTTGATCATAGATGATTCTTCCTGTGAAGGTAACACATGTTTTATGAACTGTTTTATTTAACAGAATAAAAAAGTTCAAAAATCAAAGTGTCAAACCAACTGAAGCAGAACTAAAATTAGGTGTTTCACCCCTCCCATCTCTCTAACCAGTACCATGTATTCAGCACAATATTTAATCCATTTAATACAACGCACTGTGTGATGTGCAATCTTTCACTTTTTCTCCTCAAAAAGATACAGTAATAGCACAGAGCTAAACCTCCATTGAAGACACTATTATTTTTATTTTCAGTGCAATTGGAACATTTGATGGTTTTGGCTTGGTTTTGTTTCTCTCCTTTGACCTAGTATTAAACGTGATGGATTCATCTGGAAATACCCCACTGCACTGGGCCACAAAGAAAAACCAGGTTGAAAGTGTTAGTTTGCTTCTGAGCAGAGGAGCCAATCCAAACATTCTCAACTCCAATATGATGGCACCTCTGCATATGGCTGTGCAGTCCCTGCATAATGAAATTGTTAAGGTAAGTCCAAAGTCCACGTAGACTTGATAAGTAGCTCAACACTGGCTGTGTGCAGACTTGAAGACCTTGTTTATATATGCTGTATCTCCTCATATGGTTTGTTTAGAAAGCAGGATGTGTAACATCTGATGCTTATTGAAATGTTTGTATCTTTAGCACAGCAAGTAAAAAGTAACTTACTGATTTATATAAATACTGATATTTGTGCTGTGATAGTAGTTGTTGTTATTTTATGAAGAATTCTTTTTAAGTTTTCCAATTTGTCTTTTTAATTAACCAAAGACAAGGAATTTTCTTTAAATAGGTTCTTTTAGCATCAGAATTTCATGTAGGCATGTGTCATTTCAAATATTTATGCTTTGATTTATTTACTTTTTTTTACAGTTGAGTAGGGAGTCATATACATATCAACATTTACTTGAAACTAGCATACTCTTTTAATGAAAACCAGATTAAAATTAGTCAGAAAACACAGTTCTTAAAAACATTTCAATAATCATTTGAATAATAGCAGAACTCAAGCTGCAATTAAAAAATCACAAAAATATTTTGTGAAGACATTACAAGGTGTCCATTTTGAACCTTCAAAAATAGCAACAGCATTGAGATTTTAAACAGTGTATCTTTATCATCATTTGTCCAAGTGCAATGAGAATATTTTTACTCCATATGCGGCATTTGGATAGAATTTTAGAATTTGTAAAGCTCTTGTATTTAATAAGCGAATACAACTTTAACACAACATCACTTGCTTTTCCCTTTAAAGTTGTATCTTTTTCTAGTTTGTTCAAACAAAAGGAAGAAAAACATATCCCTGTATTCAAGACTTAAAATCCTTTAGAGATTTTCAGTGCTAAAATATGTCACTGTCTTCACATCCTTTACAAAATCTGTATTTATTTTCAGTTAAGAAAATCTGAAATGACATTTTAAAAATAAGCTTTATATCAAGTTCTGGGTTTGGGTTATTTTAAGCTGTGCTTTTGACTGAATATGTACTCTCATTTTTCCCCGACTCTTTTCTTTATTCAGGTTAATTCTCCTTTGGTTTCTGTTGTTAAATGGACTGAGAGTGATTAAAATGTGCCAGTTCCTCCTGTACAGAAAAATTAATTGGAATTACTGAAAGACAGTTGAATAAATATGTAGGCAGAGGAATAAATATGTATGGTCATTATCATTTCCAGATCCTTTGGTTCTCAAAAAATGCTAGAAGCAGTCATAGAGGTACTTGGTGATGCTCCTAGCTTAGTAACAGCTGTTAACGTAGGGACTGAAGCAGGGTTCCTGTCTTCAAGTCCTGTCTCCCTTGATCTTATATAACTGTCCAATAGATGAATTAGGGAACAGCATCCACAACATCATTGCCACTTTCCAGAGAATACAGAATATTACAAGACATTATACCAAATGTGAGTTGAAAATCCCCACCTGCAATTTGCTACAGAAAAGATTTTCTCCCAGCATTGGGGAAATTGTTAAATAAAACTTTAAGAAACTCTGCATCTATATGCAGTGTTTAACATTGCTGCTGGTCTATCTGCTGTAAAGAATTTTACTTTGCTTTGTCTGTTCTCACCTGCATTTTTCACCTGTGGTTTTTTTCATTCCCCTGCATTTTGTCTCCCTTTTGTGTCTATGTGTTGTGGGCTGTTGCCATGAAAGAAAACAAACCCAAGTTGCAAGAGTGCTATGGGTGATAACAAAAATAATGAAGTAGGCATTTGTTGTTGTGTTTGGCTTATGTTTGGCTGAATGTTTTCTTAAACCTTTAGATTTTAGTCCAGCATAGCAGTACAGATGTTAATTTGGAAGGCGAAGCGGGGAACACACCTATAACTGTAGCATGTTACAAGGATAATCCTGAAGCACTGACACTCCTGGTAGGTATAACTATCCATCATTTTTTATTGTGAGTCTGTTTCCCTTGATGCAGTGTTACTCTGTTTCTGTGATCTGTCTGTTCAGTGGAGGAAGGTTAATCATGGACCTAGCAGGACACTAAGAAACTTTATTCTTTTAACAGCATATATATCTGAATATATATATCATAGAAATATATCTGAATGGCAAACTTAAGAAAAACTTAACTGATTTTGAAGGTCATGAGAACACAAAATGAATTACATATATATACAGATGTATGGATATAACATGCAAAAAGATGTTTGTATGTAAGCTTCACAATGTATATACAACATAAAAAAAAGGAGACAGCTACCCAGGAGAATATGTCTGTAATAATACGTTCATTAGTCAGAGTCTTCTGTATGTCATTAAGCTATATCCAAGAATTATTTTTCAGATTGAAAATGGAGGGAAAATATGTAAACCGAACAAAACAGGATGCATGCCTATCCATGCAGCTGCATTTTCAGGTGCAAAAACGTGTATGGAAATTCTCTTAAAAAAAGGTAAATTATGTTGCTCCCAAGCAGTCAGTAAGAGTCAGAATTTATTACCAATTTAGTAATTTAATTCTCAAAGAACTATGAAAACAAACACTTATAACTGTAATTAAACTTAGAAAAAGTTAATGCAATTATTCCTATGGGCTTGTGACTTTTGTAGCATTGCAGCAGCAGCTTAACTGCTTTCCTAAGTGCATGTCCATCCATTGTTTAACGATAGATGTGAAACGTTCATATCTTGAGGGAGAAGAATATTATTCTACAGTTAATGTGCTTTTTTTGAAAGCCTTTATCTTCTGTTATCTCATTCTTGCTTAAAAAAATTCATTTATTTTCATCTCTCAGGTGAAGAATTGGGTCACTCTGCTAAAACCCACATCAATTTTACCAATAATGGAAAGTGCAGTCCACTTCATTTGGCAGTTCAAAGTGGGGACCTTGAAATGATTAAAATGTGCATTGAATTTGGAGCCCAAATTGATCTAAAACAGGTAAAATCTGGAGTGGAGAAAAATATAATTTTGATAAAACCTAGGTATTTCTACATCTCTGAGTGGTATGAAAAAAAGATGAACACATAATTATTGATTGTTGTCTCCTTCAATACAAAACCTAGGGAGCAGCAAAGGAAAACAAGCCTGTGGTGCAGATCAGGCAAAATGCCAGGTTTCATTACACAGGTTGCATAGGATGTTGTGAGTATGAAAAGTTTTTATAGGTTCAAAGTGCATTTGGACAGATCCATAAAACAAAGGTCAATCCACAGCTACAAGCTCAGGTATGTTACAGCCCAACTAGAAGGAAGTGCAGCAGGAGGGCCAGGAGACCACCTTGGATGAATAAGAGCTGCTGAGGAAAATTTGAAGGAAAAAAGAGGATTATAAAAGGTGGAAGCAAGGACAGGCAGCCTGGGAAGAATACAGGGATGCTGTCCAGGAAGCTAGGGACCAGGTTACGAAAGCTAAGGCCCAGTTAGAATTAAACTTGGCTAGGGATGTGAAAGATAACAGGAAGGGATTCTGTAGGTACATAGTGAATAAAAGACAGACTAGGAACAATGTAAGCCCCCTCTGGAAGCTATCGGGAGAACTGGCTATCCTGGGTTTGGAGAAGGCTGAGGTTCTTAATGACTTCTTTGCTTCGGTCTTCACTGGCAAAGGCTCTGACCACACCACCCAAGTCTTGGAAGGCAGATGCAGGGACCGTGAGAATGACGACCTTGGGCCCACTGTACGAGAGGATCTGGTTCGAGACCATCTTAAGAACCTGAATATGCACAAGTCCATGGGACCTGATGAAATCCATCCGTGGGTCCTGAAGGAGCTGGCAAATGAAGTTGCTAAGTCACTGTCTATCATGTTTGAAAAATCATGGCAGTCGGGTGAAGTTCCCGACGAGTGGAAAAAGGGAAATATAACCCCCATTTTCAAGATGGGGAAAATGGATGACCTGGGGAATTACAGACCAGTCAGTCTCACCTCTGTGCCTGGCAAAATGTTGGAGCAGATTCTCCTGGAAGGCATGCTAAGGCACATGAAAATCAACAAGGTGCTTGGTGACAGCCAGCATGGCTTCACTAAGGGGAAATCCTGCCTGACCAATTTGGTGGCCTTCTGTGATGGGGCTACGGAACTGAGGAACAGGGGTAGAGGAGTTGATGTCATCTGCCTGGATTTGTGCAAAGTGTTCAACACTGTCCCACACAACATCCTTGTCTCTAAATTGGAGAGACATCGATTTGATGGATGGACCACTTGGTGGATAAAGAATTGGCTGGGTGGCCGCACACGAATAGTTGTGGTCAATGGCTCAATGTCCGGCTGGAGACCAGTAACGAGTGGCGTCCCTCAGGGATCGGTGTTGCCTTTTTCAACATCTTTGTTGCTGACATGGACAGTGGGATTGAGTGTGCCCTCCGCAAGTTTGCCGATGACACCAAGCTGTGCGGTTTGGTTGTTACGCTGGAGGGAAAGAATGCCATCCAGAGGGACCTTGACACGCTTGTGAGGTGGGCTGATGCCAACCTCATGAAGTTTAACCATGCCAAGTGCGAGGTCCTACACCTGGGTCAGAGCAATCCCAGGCACAGCTACAGGTTGGGCAGAGAAGAGATTCAGAGCAGCCCTGCGAAGAAGGACTTGGGGGTGTTGGTTGATGACAAACTTAACATGAGGCGGCTTCAGTGTGCACTCGCAGCCCAGAAAGCCAACCGTATCCTGGGCTGCATCAAAAGGAGCATGACCAGCAGATCAAAGGAGGTGATCCTGCCCCTCTACTCTCCTCTCATGAGACCTCACCTGGAGTATTGTGTGCAGTTCTGGTGTCCTCAACATAAAAAGGACATGGAACTGTTGGAACAAGTTGAGAAGGGCCACGAGGATGATCAGGGGACTGGAGCACCTCCTGTATGAAGATAGGCTGATAAAGTCGGGGCTGTTCAGCCTGGAGAAGAGAAGGCTGCTTGGAGACCTCATAGCAGCCTTCCAGTATCTGAAGAGGGCCTATAGGGGTGCTGGGGATGGACTATTCATTAGGGACTTTAGTGATAGGACAAGGGGTAACGGGTTCAAACTTTAACAGGGGAAGTTTAGGTTGGATATAAGGAAGAAATTCTTTAAGGGTGGTGGGGCACTGGAATGGGTTGCCCAGGGAAGTTGTGAATGCTCCCTCCCTGGTGGTGTTGGTCAGGCTGAACAGAGCCATAGGTAGCATGGTTTATTGTGAGGTGTCCCTGCCCATGGCAGAGGGGTTGGAACTAGATGATCTTAAGGTCCTTTCCAACCCTAACTATTCTATGATTCCATGATTCATACACAGACGGAGTCTGGAAGAGCACTCTGGAGAATGATACATACTTCTTCACAAACTCTTCTTTACTTTGCAGCTTCTATTATTCCTTCCCAGAAATGGGTTCCTCAGTCCGATTCTTTCTCTTCATTCTTGTTCATCCTCAGCCTTCGCCTGGCCTTTACAGTTTTTTCTTTGTAAGGAAGCACAAATTAATGATAATACTGCTGCTACTGTGATACTGTTGGTGTAATGGCCCGGATTTAGGATAAATAAAGATTTTGAAAATATCTATCATTAGTCAAATTGTTTTCAGGGCCAAAACAGATCATGACAGTGAAGATGGCTAAACATGGTTTTGCCTTCTCCTATTGGTTTGATTCTGTGAACACATAGATTTTGAGAAGATAATTTATGCTGCAGATTTTGTGATGGGTAAAACTGTTTTGAGAATGCTGATTCTACAATGCAGGCATTGTGGAAAACCCAGTTCCAATGCATTCACTTGAGATGTTGCTGTTGTAAAAAGGAGAAAGTCAAAACCCTCAGGCATGTATCAAAGGTAGTTTGTGCCATTTAGCTAATTGAAATCATGTTTTGGCAAATACAGTTCTAATAATTTATTGCTTAATTTTATGACTGTCTAGCTTTTAACAGTTTAATATCATATTAGACCAAGTTATTTTTAACCTGAAAAAAAAATATTTAAGAATGACTTCTAAGAAAGATACCATTTAAGGAAGTCATAAACATTTTAAAATAATACATTTTCTGTATTACATACATTTTTTTGATTATTAATTTGTACTGATCTACCTGTGCTTTGCTACAGTTTTCCTTTGTTTCATCTCTCATATTAAAGGTCATGGTGTGTGTGTTTATTAATTCAACTGCAAAAGATTGCTAGGAGTGTAATTAACTCAAATCTTAAAATCTTTTCAAAGTTCCACTACTTCAGTTACAGATTAAAGTTTCATTACTTGCATAGAAATTTAGGCATTTGGGAATTATGACTCCTGGGCTAGATCACTGGAGTGTTTAATAGATTGGAGGTTAGGTGTTTGGGATTTAAATATTTAAGTGTTTTTTTTATTTTCCCATTTACAGAATGAAAAATGCACAGCACTTCATTTTGCTGCCACTCAAGGAGCAACTGAGATTGTAAAGTTAATGATGTCATCCTATGCTGGTGAGGAATCCATTATTGATGCTGTGGATGGGAATAAGGAAACTCTGCTTCACAGGTAGGAGGCTACCAGTCTGCCAGATTTCACTATGAATTGTGACCCATGATATTATTAGTTATTCTCAGCATCCAATTATAAGTTACATAGTATACTTTGGAACATCCTCTCACACAGGGGATAGCTTTAGTACAATATGAAAGAGTCAGTAATTTGGTCAGAATCTTAAAGATTTTGGCGTTGATATCAAAATCAGAACAGTACAAGTTACTTGGGAACCATGTCAAGATATGGTCACTAACAGTTTGTATTAAAAATTTACTCCACTAAAATAGTAGGTGAACAAGTTAATGGAATTTTTAACAGCTTCTGAGGTAGTGGAGCAAGTGCCCTCATGTAATGGGGTTACATTCTCCAGAAAATAAAGAATAATATAAACAGTTTAAAAAAAAATATTTTTTTTTTATCCCCAATACATGACTATTATACTAGTAGTAGTCATAATCTGGTATATATATATATACATAGTCATATACCCTATGACTGTAAAGTTGCAGATGGCATTTGATTATGTAATAATCCTCTAGCCTTCTAGTTTTTCACAGTCCATTTGAAACCGGAGCACTAGCCTGTGGAGAAATGTCATCAGTCTTCTGTAGTGGAAAGGCACTTAGTTAAATGTGCTGACTACCAACTCTATGGAAGATAGTATATTTCCCCATCTATATATTTTTGCAAGAAAGATATGTCTCACTGCATTTAAGTGTAATAATTTTACAGTGTTATTCTGTGTGTTGTTTTACAATACGAAATGATTGGTATAAAGTCAGAGACAGTGGAGATGATTGTTCTTTGAACACAGTATAAGGTGGAATGATTTGAAGATAATTGAAGAAATTACATGGGGAGTGTGTTGTAAAGTTAAGGTAAGTTTTGGGTACAGTTGGAAATGCTACCGTGATGGAACTTGACTGAAGACAAAGTGATAACAGAATGCCGAAGAAAATTTTATAGACACAGCACTACTTAATAGATAATTGGCTGTCATATCCATGAAAATGATTGTCCTTGGAAAAAGCTTGAAAAAAAGAATGGCATTCTTTTAATCCCTGTGTCTGTGAAATGGGAAAAAAATTATCAAGAATAATCAGAAAGGTAGAAAGTCACCCAAATTTCTCAGAATATAACTAAATTGAATAGGAACATTAATTTGTTGAGAAGTGGGGGAGCAGTGCAGCATAGGCAGGACTTAATCCTTTCACAGACTTACTGTTATGTTTCCGCCTAAATATTTTATAAAATGACTTTGCTTTCTCTTCAGTCATCTTGGAATTTATTTTGAGTGTGTGAAGCATTCAGTATTTATGCCTGGCTGGTAGAGGTGTCTACTACAGATAATGGATGTATCTCTACTTGTTTGGAACCATGACATGATTTTAAAAATGCGTTTTTTGAGCAGTCAGTTCTAACTATAGTACACCCAGGGTTATTACCTCTTATAGTGCTAAGGGGACTATTGTCTTTGAGATACAGCACAGCCTTGGAAGTGTCCTTCTATGTTGCTTATTGAATCAAAATATTTAATAGAGATCTGACTTATAAAAAAAAATTTAGACTGCTTTAACTGAGCTGTGCTTCCTGCTTTGACCATTTTTTCCCTGTAATATATTATTCAGTGTCTTATTGTAGAATAAAATCTGAAAATTTTTTTAGTAAATAATTGTCACTACAATTTATATCAATATATTTTTGCATATTTTTTCAAGTAAACTTGCCCTCCACATTCAGAATACGTTTAGCCATTGCCATTTTAACCCCACTCTAGCATCATTACACAAAATGTATAGGAAGTTATTTTTGAAGACTGCGTCAGTGAAATGGATTGAGGCTGTAGATCTGCCTGGAACAAACTGAATCTGAAGTTTATGGAATTCCATATTGACATTGTGTGGTACGACAAAAGATCTGACATATGAAATGGCTGGATTTGTTAAAAAACTGGTAAAATACCTGTTGACTCACAGTGAGTTTTCATTGTATTAGCTGAACAGAACTTAGTTTAAAAATTAACTGCATGATAAAAACCAAATCAACTTACTAAAATGAATTAGTAGGTATCTCACGACCTTTTAGTTTGAAATGGATTTATTTGAAAATATTAGAAAATGCACAAATGGAGAAGAATGCTGCGTTTTGGCTGGAAACTTCATTGTCCCTTCTAATGTTACTGTCTTTTTGCATTTTTCCCTACAGGACAGCATTGTTTGATCATTATGAACTGGCAGAGTATCTGATTTCAATGGTAAATATTTACTCAATGAACATGTTTATAGAGATTATTGCTAGCTATTACTACAGGTCTGCATAGAGAAATTCATAAAGGAAAATATGTTCTCAGGTATAGGTTATTTAGATATATATAATTTCATAATGCATAATTGACAGTTGCAATACAGTGGTAGTTGTGGCTCCTTATTAATGTTCTACAGTTACAGAAGATTACAGAAGATTAAAACCTTCTATTGCCATTTTACTTATTCAGAAAGGTTTAATAAACATCTTTTATCACATATGACAATATGGTTTAGTCATCCTCACTTTTAGAATATGAAATGCGGAATATATGCTAAATATGAATTGAATTTCATCTGATTTTCCCAGCAAGAAATCCTTTCTTTAAGGTATGCAAAAAGATTAAAAGATTAATATGCAGAAAGATTTAAAGGTTGTCCTGGGATCATATAGCCATCTATTGAAGTTTGTGCATGATCTAGAAATAATTTTTACTCTGTGTAGTTTGGTTGTATTTCTCCACTGAATAATTATGTGGGAGAAAGAAGAAATGTAAACAGGAATGCTACTGGCTATGATCCAAGTGTCCATTTGTAGCAATTAAACTAAGACTCATAATCATTATATACCCCACTCTGCTAAGGAAATTTTCTGAAGTTATTAGACTTTCATTTTATTTATATTTAGGTATTTTTACTTTATTTCATAATAATTACATTAAGAGAAATTCTCTTCTACATACAGTTCTGTTTTTCTCAGAAGCTCCATTGTAGGGATTGTACTTAGTCAGAACTAGATATTATGCTTATTTTTAATTCAAATGTGAAATGGTGAGGTTTGATGGCTTAAACTTGTCTGACAAAACAACCTCTCTGAAGGTGTTATGAGAAATACAGGCACAAGCATAATGTATCACCTATGCTGTGGTGTACACGAGAGTGATAAAGAAAAGGTGGAGCAATGTTACTACTGAAAAGGAATAGCAAATTCCAGTTCAGAATGGCTTTCTGGTTTTAATAAAGAACAGCATTCATTTATTTTATACATTAAATACCCACTTTTCATGCACATGAGCTTTAAATGATTACTTCCTTTATCTTACCTTTGGTACTTGTCGTGTCTGAAAATAAAAGCCTTTGTAAACAGATACAGTGTTACATCTAGCTCTTCTAGACAGAAAAGATTATTTATGGTAAGCAGAATTGTCCAGGCACACTATGTATGCTATTTACGTTTAAATTACACCAATTTTTTTGTAAATTATAGGTCAGTGTGCTACACAAGAAAAAGCAGAGAATCAAACTCTACAGATAATATTTTGCAAAACCTTATAGCTTTGAAGAAATGCTACTCACAAATTGGTTTGCACATTGATCATTTTAAGCTCAATGACTTGGGAAATAATGTCAAAAGTGGCTGTTGTCACATTTGACAGGTGCACAGTATCTGATTTTGTGCATGCAAAGGTGATTAAAGACTATGTTATTAACTGGAAATTGCAACCCTGTATTCACTGAAATGAATGAGCCCCTTGGCTAAAAAAGGTCCTTGTTTCTTTGATGAATAAGAACATTTTTAAGAAATTGTCTGACCCTGTTGAAAGGTAACTGGGGAAAGGGTCCTCCCTGTGTTACTCTCAAACATTTCATCAGCGTACTTTGGAAGCTTCCTGTTCTCTGTGGCAAAGTACACTGTACATTTATTAAATGTTTCTTATTACTACATTGCAGGCTTTACCATGCTAGAAAGTAAATATTGCTCTTGATTATGATTAATTCTCCAATTATGACTGGACCCAAAGGTGATTCAAGTTAATGGAAAAAACTCCTATTGATTTTTTTTTCTTTTAATGATCTTTGGATGCTATCTAAAATAAAATATGGGGTTTTGCATACTTCTGTCAATTCATCGAGTTTGACTTGCAACTCAATACCTAGAAATATGTATCTAAGTCATCATAAAATAAGCATATCTCATTCATGCATTTACTTGTATCGTCATACTGCCTTGGTGGTGTGATTTTTTAGATAGATATACTTATGTTGATAGTATTTCACTGATATGATCATAATGATATTGTGACCATAGTGACGATCCTGTCCTGAGAGTATGCACCTTATGCAAAACCAGACAAAACAGCAAAACTGAGCTTTTGCCAGAATATCACATTACAGTCCTTGTGCTTCCTCTAATGAGATAGGTCACATCCAAAAAACCTGAGTTTGGAGAATAAAAATGTGTCTTCTGTTGATACAGCTACTTTGTAGTAAAAATTAATTTGGCTTATACAGTTTATGATGAAGAATAGAAAAGGAAGATAGATCAAGCTATACAGATTAAGATATACTAACCTCAGAATGCATTACTTGTTGAACAGTATTCATAAAGTGTAGAGGTTCAGAAGGGTCTTGTTCCGGTAATTAATAGGAGGACCACATCATTCAAAATGACTGCAATTTTTGTATTTTTCCAGAGCTTCAATCCCAGTATTTTCAAGTCAGAATTACATATTTTGAGTATTTAAATGTATGGAAAGGTATCCTAGCAAAAGATCATGCGTTGTGATAAACTTGAAATTCTTTATTGCAGGGGGCTAATATTGATAGTGTTGACATAGAAGGTCGATCCCCACTTCTGTTGGCCACTTCCTGTGCGTCATGGAAAATTGTGAATTTACTGCTCTCAAAAGGTAAAAAGGAATATACACATACAATACACTTCCTTTGAGCAGGGTTCATACATGTTAAAACTGTGTCTAACTTTCCTCTCAATTTCAATTCAGTACTTCAGCATACAGGCCAGGAGCAGCTGAGCTAAACAGCTGCACAGTGCTGGTATCCCCTGAGATAAAGGAAGAATTAGTGTGATGATTTCACCCTTTTTAATACAGAGTGAACAGGCTATAGAAAAATGTGTATGCCATATGTCATGCTTCTCCATATGTCAAGGTAGAGATGGCACTGGCGCTCCATCTCTGCATTCCTTAGCAGTTCACAAAGTAAGCAGAACTGTGGAATAAATACACCACATATAGTCATGTTTTATAGCAACAATCAATCTTTAAACTTTAAAGTGCATATTTCAAGCATTACCTGTGGTTTTATGTAATCACAGTCACCTTGAAAATGTTTGAGCTGTCTTTCAATGACTGTACTGCTGGTGGAAGCTAGTTATTGTTCCTATATTTTTATCTTGTTAATAGTAATAAAACCGATTTGTTTATAAGCCTTGTAATGAGTTTTGAAGCTGTAACAGAATTACAACATTAAAAGATTAGAAGATGTAGTCATCTGCATCTTTAAATTACCTTGTGGTTTGTGGGTGTTCAGTATCTCTGAATATAAGGGCCGCACATAAATCTTAGTTCTACAGTAAAATACAAAATGTATCTACACATGAGATAACTATGAAATCTGCATGTCAGTGTGGGGTGTGTTTAAATGATATTCTATGTTATAATGCTGTCTTGAATAATCATTACTTCATAGATTTATAAACACATTTGTTCAACATTTGTTCCTTTGTCTTAAATGTCATCAGTTAGTGTCAGGAGCCAGCAGTTTTGAAGTTGCTGGTATTTATTTCCATATTTATCTAGGAGCAAATGTGTCATTAAAAGATCATCTTGGTCGGAATTTCTTGCATTTGACGGTATTGCAGCCTGGAGGATTACAGCATCTAAATGAGAAATTTCTGCAGGTACAGTAAGCATCATTTTATCTCTTTCTGCTACCTTTACTAGAAAGTGTAAAGACCAAAAGCATCTACAATTTCTTTTGGAGTGTTTGTAGAAGTTTGTGGTGTTTTTTAAGATGCCCAGTGTCACAGAAAATAGTTTGCAGAGGTACGTATCTCTCATGAAAACATTTCAAAGCCAATAATACAGTTTTCTTATTGCCAGGCAAAGGAATAACAATCCCATAAATTATTTTGCTGTTGGGGATTGAATAGCTGAAGAGGTAGGCAATAAAATATAGAACTTCTCACTTCTATTTTCCCAGCTTGCATGCAGTAAAGCTAGGGGATGTACTCATTAGCATTCAGTCAAGCTCTAGGACTGAAATAGTTTACAGCATGTTCTGCAGGAGCTTTCCATAGACTGGACTGTAATGAAATCTTGGATTTAGTTCTAGAAAGGATTTCAAACATGGATTTGTATTTGGCTATGCTGAGGTGAAGCACTCACATTGCTAGAGCTGAAGCTCACTTGAAAGAATAAATTTGCTAGCCTCCAGAGCTCCAGAAACAACCTTTAAAACGTGGATCAAGTATAACTGATCGTACAACATCTGCTGAAACCTGTAAACAACTTTGATTAGTAATGCAGAAAGGATTTAACCTCCCTTTTCAGCAGACGTAGAGAATTAGTTTTAAACCAGAATGACAATTCTGAGTTGTCTGCATTGACTTTCCAATTATTGATCATACTAAAAATTCAGACAAAGGAGTGGAGCAAACTTGGGGCAGAGACTTAGTTGCTTTAAGAAAGGCTATACATAGGATAGTGTTATATGAGGTACGGAGCAAAACCAGGGAAATAAAGATGAGAAAGAGAAATGTGGGAAATAAAATTACACTGTAAACCAGTGAACTGATGGTTTTTGACAGCCAGAAATTTTGCTACTGAACACAAACTGCAGACTACCCTTGCATTCTGTACAAGCCTTCTGCTGACAGCATTAGGTATTATGGTTGAATGGCAGTAAAGAAGAATCTCCTGCATTACACTTGTGGTATGGATGCGTTACAATGAGGGTTGCAAAGTGGCAAACTGCTGTGTTCTTCAAAGAGTAGTTGTTTGAAAAAATGGTGACCCACAAATCAGCAGACATTAAATGCTCATTGTTGCTAAATCTACTTTTCCTAAAGTTTTTCTTTTTTTTTTAGTTACCACTTTTAAGTGTTGCTGCTATTGTTACAAGCTATTAGAAGCTGTACAGCCTAAATTACTTAAATATAATTCTGTGCTTTTGGGGTTTTTTGGGGGTTAACAGATGGAACACATTAAAAATCTTGTAGTGGATGAAGATAATGAAGGATGCACTCCATTGCATTATGCATGCAGACAAGGTGTGGCCCTCTCTGTAAATAATTTACTCAGCCTCAATGTTTCCATCTACTCTAAGAGCAGAGACAAGAAGTCACCATTACACTTTGCTGCCAGGTTAGTACTGCAGTCTAGGCAATGGAATCAATGCCATTTTTTCCTCTGTTTTTTTTTTACATTCATTTCTATGTTTATCTTTCAAAGCTATGGGCGCATCAATACATGTCAGCGACTTATAAGAGATATGAAAGACACAAGACTTTTGAACGAAGGTGATAAGAAAGGGATGACTCCTCTTCATTTGGCAGCCCAGAATGGTCATGAGAAGGTAGTTCAGTTTCTTCTGAAGAGAGGGGCCCTGTTTCTCTGGTAAGTATATTAATTTCTATTCATTAAAGCAAAAAAGAATCATCACCCTATATTTTATGTCCATTTTCTGGGAAGTTATATAAATATAAATGCAATATATAGAAATATTTAATATGCTCTTATATTGTATATTTATATTTCTGTATACTAATATATTTATAACATAATTTATAATACAGCTTATTGTGCCTTGCTTCAGCCTGACACACAGAATCAGGGCTAGCTATAAAGCAAGTCTTCTAATGCTAGGGAAACTGAGGTTTCTCTAAATCAAACTGAGAAGAATATTGAACCTTTTGATAGAAAAAATATTAGTTTGGAAATATTATGATGTTAGCTTCATTTACAGGCCTGAATAGGGGTTCTTAGGGTTAATGTATCACAAGTAACTTGCCTTGAACTCCAAGTCCTGATTTCAGATCAGTGGTCCTCAGATCATTGGCAGCTCCACAAAAGCTTCCAGGGTCATACCTGTAAAGCTAGGAGCTGAAGCTACCAAAAATTTAGAGTCCTGTTTCAAAGGTACAGTCTAGAGCTTCAGCTTATAAGTCCTGTGCTTCCAGGTCCACTGCAGCTCCAACTTGGAGCTAGGGGCCTAAGCATTCTGAGAAAATACTTTACCTAACAGGCCTGTCATATATGCATTGCATGCATTGTTTGTGACTGCAGAGGTCTCACTAAATGGACTACTGTCAAACCCTTTATTTGCACAGTGTTCTTAGCTGGACTAGTACACCTTAGAAAGGTAGAGATGATTGTGTATATATATATATGTATATATGAGTATATATATGTGTATGTATTTAGGCTTCATTTAGGAAGCATTTACGTTTACTTTTATAATTTCTAATTTTATACTGCAACATATAAGTGATTATAAAGGCTGGACAGCCCTGCACCATGCTGCCTTCGGAGGATACACTCGCACAATGCAGATCATTTTGGATACTAATGTGAAGTGTACTGACAGAGTGGATGAGGAAGGGGTATGTTTTCACATGGCATTATTTGTTTCTTGTCTGCTATTACTTCTAGAGCAAATGTCAATGCTATGCCATTTCCACTGTGCATTGCATGTGTAATATTTCATTTCCTCTGGCATATTTAAAGTCTATCTGTTTCACCACTGTTAAAGCTTATTTCTTAGTTTAATATATAATTGCTGAAATTGTTACTCCGTTGTTAGAAATGGGAGTCAAAAGACAAATCAGATAGCCTAATGGAAAACATAAAATACTGAGAATGTTAGACACATCCCTCTTGCCTGCTTTACAATACAAAAGTATTTTAACAATCTAGTACAAATGTTAGTAACATAAATTTGAAGAGCTTATACAGATTTAGAAAAAAAGTCCAGTATCAGCTATAGCTTGTTTGAGCAGATTGCTTGAAATCCATGTGTTCTGCACAGCAATGTCCAACAGATACAGCTCTTGGAAGTCTGGACAAATGCAGTGTCTTTGGGTTGACAGAATCCATTTCCTGGATTGGAGACCTCTTCTATGGACCTGCCTGACAGTTCCGTATCAGAAAACATAGGGGGATCATTTTAAGGAACTGTTCAGTTTCCAACATAGAAAGTGCTGCTAATTTCTCTGAGAATTGGTGTTGGAAACATTTATTAGATTAGGAACAGATCTTGCTGGGAAGTTAATGAGAAGCCAATGCTTAGTTCTTAATTTCCTTCAGAAGAATCTGGGAATGCTTTCAAAAGTCATCTTCACTGGGACTTGGTTCCTAAAACACTCATGACCTTACTTTTATAAAAATACCAAAGGAAAACAAAACGTTGCCCTTATAAAACTGTGCTCGCAGATTTGATTGTATGAGCATGTCTGGATATAGTTGGATGCTTCTCTTCCTGATTTTCAAACTTTGGTGTTCTCTATCTGTAAATGACATCGTTTTTTACCTATCTATGACTTGCAGTTTATTAGTTATAGAACTAAAATATATTAATGAATTGGCTTTTCTTATGCACATCTGAGTTTCTTCCTCAGATTTAGCACTGCTGTATATGTAGATGTAGCATCAAGAACTTGTCTATAATCTGTCAGAATTTCTGTAACAATATTCTACTTTTTAATGTTGCTAGTAAAGGTATTCAGAACTTGCAACTGAGAACAGTATGTGGCTTTTCAGTGTGGGAAAGGACTGAAATACATATTTTATTTTTTTTAATGATTCTCTTTGATGCATTGCTGTACTTTTCCTGTGCAGAACACAGCTTTGCATCTGGCTGCAAGAGAAGGACACGCAAAAGCAGTAAGGTTACTTCTTGACTATGGTGCAAAAATTCTGTTCAACAAAGCACTAGCTTCTTTTTTCCATGAAGCAATACACAATAGGAGAAAAGATGTAGTGTCTGCTGTAATTTTGCACAAAAGGTAAGATACGCAGAAAATGCTTTTCGAATTTCTGTTGTTTTATTTTGTTTTTAACGGAGATAAATTTCTGAAGACCTGTAGTTTAATAAGTACATATTTTAAAACTCCAGGGACTATATAGTGTTCTAGTGAGAGCAAATAAAAAATGGCATAATTGTAATGGACGTCAGTTATGTGGCATGTTGTTTTTCATATTAGACTGAGTATTCATAATCTGTTAAAAAAAAAACAAGCAAACCAAACAAATATGTAGAAGTTATAAATAAATAAATAATCTTTCCTGTGTCTTCCCTCTTATGTATGTCAATTTGGCCTTTCACAAAATGCTTCAATGCATAAAATTTTAATCAAAATGTGAGTACATGTGATACCAAAATTATTGGTTTAAATGTTGCAAATACTTCTAAAAATAGCCCCACTTCAGGAATAAAAGTGTTGCACTATTGCCTAATGTTTGCATCTCTTGGTAACAGTTGCAGGAACACTGCCAGTATTTTACTTTATTTGTTATTACTCACCTAATTTTATAATCCAAGATTCCAGCTTTAGTTCAAGTTTCATATTTTTTAGAAGGTCCTAGCATAGTTGAAACATCTCTGTTTAACTAATAACAGAATTAAACATTAATCATTCTTAGAGAAGCATCCAGAATGTTACACAATTGCTCCCCAAACGGCTGATTTTCCAATTAATGGTACGCACACTTGCTACATATTGTGATTTGCAAGATAATATCATAAATAAAAGTTAAATACTCTAAAAGTAGATGAGCTGAAGTAGAAGCAACTAATTCATTTTCCGTTATCTTAACTCATTTTTGCAGATGGGAAGAAGCTGTTGTGACGTTCTCTCACTATTCTAGTGCCAATAAGTGTCCTTTGCTAGAAATGGTTGAGTATCTTCCTGATTCATTTAAAGTGAGTTTTCTGCACATATTAAAGAAATTACTACACAAAACTCCCTTAGTTACATTGCATCACTTGCCATTGTTTTTTTAATGCTGTCCTCACTCGTATATTATTGTAAAATAGAAACACTATAAATTCACAAGTTGATTTAACTGTATTTTAGTGACAATTTCAGTGTGTTCAGTTTAATTTCTTTCATATTAGGGAAGTTCAGTTTCCTGAGGTCAGTGGAGTTATAAGAATGTGAAAATAATATAGAACTAATGAAAGTCAGAAGATAACTGGGTTCGAAATGATTTGAGATATTTTTACTTTCTGAGCTAATTGTTAAATGATGCTACAGAAATGCTTTTTATTAAAATAGCAAGTGACTTGGTATGTATATATTAATAAACACATTTGACACTTGTAAAGTAGCATGTAGTCTTGTAAACTTCATAGTTTCATTATTTAACTCCTACATGGATGTTTGTGTCTTCAAAACATACAGCATAAAATCTGACTGAATCATCACTTCTGTGTATTTGATTGCTGTATTTGAAGGTCATTTTCTTCAGGTAGAAACATATTCTTTCTTATGAATATCTGTATCACCTTAATTCACTTTTCTGTTCATCTGTGAAGCTGGTTTTGGACAACTGCATAATTGAGTCTTCAGAGGAAAAGACAAGTCGAGACTTCTATGTAAGTGGATGAAAAATATTTATGAAGACAGTACATTTTATGGTCTTAGGTTGGAATATGCCACAGTGTGCCTGCCTGCATGTTAGCAGTGGTATATTATCTGGATAATAATAAAGTTAGAAAATCATCAGCTTGGCTTTTAGGTACCAATACTGGACTAGATTAAAAGTCCTCTTAAATATTTTCTGTTGTTGCAGCTATAGTTCTGTGCTTGGTAAATTGAAATCAGTCAATATTTTAACTTGATTTATGAATAATTCAGTAGTTATTCACCAATAACTGTATTTGAATCTGTGCTTGAATTTGAAACTCCTCAGTATTAGGGTAACTTTTAAAAATAACTTCATCGGGTATTAGCAATCTTCAGCTATGAGTCTCTTTTTGATTCTCAGCAAGCCACTGATCTAATTCTCTTTGGTGACTCTGTGACACTGAAATTAACACATTTTTTACTTGAAAGTTTAGGAAGAATTCAGTATGTGTAGTTCAGTAGTTGTGAGTTTAGGAAGCACTCAGTATGTGTAGTTTATTAGTTGTGTCAAGTTCATATGAAGAGGCACACTTGTAGGTTAATCAGATATTAACAGAAAATGCATGTGACTGATCTAAATTTGTATTTTGGTCTGTAAATGGCTTTGAAGTTCAATTTCTGTAATCTTCATCCTTGTGCATTTTAACAAGTACAGCATTAAGCTTGAGCAATCTGTAGTCTTTATCTTTGCTGTGTTAATTCTTGCAATCAAGCTGAGTATCAGAGGTTGTGGATATTTCAAAATAAAAGTGATTGATAGAAGACATAAGATCTATTTATGCATATCCAAAGCATGTCTATCATAAGTAGTACAGTTGTCATCAAGAATTGTCATGTTTCTTTTTTTCGTAAATTCTTGACTAAAATCTTTAGTAGATTGCTTTCACTCTATAGCTATGTTACCTTTGAAACCATGTTGTCAATCTTATCAATGATTATGTTGAATTGTGTCTACATTAGTAACAGAAAACATGCAAATTTTCTACTACTCTACATATTCTTTATATTGTGTTATCAAAGTCATATAACTTTTAAATACAAGCTTTTCTTCAAAGTCAACAGTAAAACAAATTGCAGTTATGAGAATGACCTTTTTAAACTAATAATTTAAGGAGAACTGTTTATTTTACAATTCAAAATGGGTGTTTAATCTTCCAGGCACAGATGTGTACCTTTATGGCACGTGCTCACTGGCAAACTAGCTAGCAATCATCAGTATGCATCAGTATTCTAATTACTTTGACTCAATATGACTTTTTTGTTTCTAAAGGATAACCTTTCTAAAATTAAACACATTAGCTCAGTCTTAGATGATCAGTTTCATTTAAATGCTAGTGTGTGTCTATTTTTCAGATTGAATATAACTTCCGATATCTTCAGTGTCCCTTGACACTTAACAAGAAACTAAAGGATGATGAAGACATTTTCTATGAACCACTTACCACTTTAAACGTAAGTTCTGTATTTTACTTGACATAATTCCATGCTTTTGTGCTCTAGATAAAATCAAGAGGTTTGAATTTTTCATAATGATATTTCTTCTCTAAAGCTTATAACTCTGTATATTTAAAGTATATTGGAATGAAATATGGGCAAAAGTTCTTACAGTCTAAGTTAAAAATAACATTTCCTTTAGGTTTACACAAAAATTCTTAGTTTAGTTAAACAACTGTGAATGTTTCAAGAGAACATGCTGTACATGCAGGTAATAATACATCAACGAAAACCATACTCCAGTCATTGTAGTGAACATCTACTGCAATGTAAGGCATTGAAAATCTGACAAAACTTGTTTTTTCACATGCTAATTACAAAATACTTTCTGTGCTTAAAACAAACATAGCCAGTCTGTCCTCTCATTCTGTGTCAGAAAATGTTTACAGACCAGAATTTCTGGCTTAATTTGATTACTTTTTGGGCTTCCCGTTAGCAATTAGACTTGGTATACTGTCTAATAATAAATAGATATTTTCTCATTAAATGTAACTAGAAAAGCTTGGTAATCTCAGAGTTATAGTTGGCAATAGTCTGTACAACTTTTTGCAGCTCTAAATAGACTAACAGAGCAACAGGAAAGAAGCTGGATGCCTCAGCAGACAGAGAAGGCAAAATAGTAAAAGCTTGGGGACAGTGTGCATAAACAAATGAACTTTGCAATATCTTACAGACATTTTAATTTTCGTTAGGCTAATATTCAAGGAAAGAAGGTGACTTACCCAGTTTTGTAATGACTTTTACTTAGCTAGCTAGATGAGATAAGCTTGATCCTTCTGCTTTCTTGTTTTTGTAGGCCATGGTACGTCACAATCGCATGGAGCTGCTCAGTCATCCCGTGTGTAAAGAATATTTGCTTATGAAATGGTAGGTGTATTTTAATGTACATAAATATCATGTTGCATGTCAGGATGGAGGTTATTGTGCCTGGAAGTTATTTACTGAGAAGTACATATCTATAGCGTTAACTGAAATGAGTATCTTTTCTACATAAACTCTCATGAGCATAATTAGAATATGCTGATGACTATAATATAAAATGTAGCTTAACATTTAGTAATGATTCTTTCATATTTACAGCAAAGATAACCACTATTGGTGTTTCCAATTTATTACAAAAATATATAGGAGGATCGGTGACTTAAAAAGAAAGGAACAGTATTTCAGGAAGGCAAATACACTTCTGTCCACGTAAAGGTTAATAAACACATTCATCACAAAAGGACATTTTGAGAAATGTTTATTTCTTCATCTTGAAAACATTGTTGGCTGTTACATTTGAATGCATGCTCTTCTAAACTTATAAAGTGTTGTAACTTTAACGTTCTCACTTTCAAGGATGGCCTATGGGTTTCGAGCACATCTAATGAATTTAGGCATATATTCTCTCGGTCTCATCCCACTGACTCTTCTGGTCACTCACATACAGCCAGGAAGACGTTTGAATGGAACAGATACCTATGAAGCAAGGCCATTAGAATATGAGGTACCGAGTTTTCTTGCTAGCTACAATATGGTTAGAATTTTTGTTGCAAAAAGGTATGATTATTTAAATAATTTCTAGAATTACGATTTAGCAACTCTAAGGAATAGAACTGAAGTATATCTTTATAAGTGGCAACTTCTGTAGGTAATTTTCAGTTCTTATTTCTTATTTTTAGTCTTTTCTGAAAATTTTTCATCTGGTACATGGTTACATCAAAGTCTTCCCTAATGTGAATCTTTCTGTAATATGGAAGAAAAAGGATTAACATGTACTTAATTTTGAAAAGACAGAATCCAGTGGATTCTTTAGTTTCCTATGTTCATTTAATTTTCAACCCAAATAACTGGCTATTGCACATTTAAAATTTGACCTAGAAAGAGCAGTCATTAATAAAGTGCTTTTGAGTATTCAAATATATCTTTCTTTGCCCATATTATGTATTACTTTCCCTTGCAGGCCCAGTATTTTTCTTCACTAAGCTCATAAAGTATGAGGCTAAGACAGAACAATTTCTACCAGTCTGTATATAGGTACCTCATGTACAACAGTAGTGACCAATGTGACAGCAGAAATGAGTCATACATGGATGGAAAATTCTCTGAAAGGTTTTTAAGTATAATGGTTGTTTTCTATAATCCCTGTTCATAAATGTAAAAGAATAAAAATTTAAAAAAAATGTGTTGTGCCAGAATGTCAATGATATATACTCATTTTGGAATTACAGTATCTCAAAGTGAAAAACTTGCTTAGGTAGCAAAGTCACACTGTGGTAAGTGTGGCTCTACTCTAGTAATTTATGAATATTGATCTTGTTCGTGATATGCATAGGATGGAAATCATAGAATCATAGAATAGTTAGGGTTGGAAAGGACCTTAAGATCATCTAGTTCCAACCCCCCCTGCCGTGGGCAGGGACACCTTACACTAAATCATATCACCCAAGGCCTCGTCCAGCCTGGTCTTGAACACTGCCAGGGATGGAGCATTCACAGCCTCCCTGGGCAACCCATACCAGTGCCTCACCACCCTAACAGGAAAGAATTTCCTTCTTATCCAATCTAAACTTCCCCTAAATCATGCTTTAGTTGGGGTCTTAAGGAAAACAAGCAAGGATGAACCCTGTCTCAGGATAAAACTGCCCTCCATATATACTTTGGGGCTGCTAAGAGACAGAGCTCAAACTTTTTTTCAGAAGCTAGAACTGGAATAATTGGACAGCATAATGAACCAAAGAAGGTAAACTTGTCAGTTCCACCGCTACAGGAGAATGGGGTTTTAGAAAAGAAATGTATTGGTGTGACTAGTGGAGGCCCTTTTTTCATAAGGGTTTCCTTACTGCAGTTAAAGTAAGCATTATTCTCTTTTTTAAGAAAACTGTATTGCCCCAAAGCTGAACATTTTACTAGACTTCCAGAGAAGGAACTGCAAGTTCTGCTGTTTATTGAACCTGTGAGTACAACTCATACATAACATTACACTCCTGTGTTCATGTGAAGCACAGGAGAGTCAGAGCTCTGTCTCCATGGCATGAAGTGTGTATTCTGAGACACCTGTGTCATTAGACCTGAAATGGTAACATGCTGGTCTTAATGGAGACAAGGTCTTGTTGTGTGGTGAACTCTTCAAATGATTAATTTCAAAATCATGATTTTTATTACTACATGGAGTTCTTTGGGGAGATAGAAGGCATAGAACTGAAATAAGAACTCAAAAAGGATATGCTAGTAGAAATATGAAAATAAACTCAAGGGATATAGAAGATTCACAAGGATACCCTGATATATGAAAAAAATCACACACCCATCCCAGTACATCTGGGATTCTCAAAGATTTGTAAACCAGAATGAGTAGAATTGGAAGAATTCGTCTCCACTAACTCATCTTCCTGGTGGGTGATGGCAGAATGACAGCAGTTGCCTACAGAATACAGAGGGATAACTCAGACAGACTCTGGTCCTCAAATCATCCAAGACTGAATGGAAGAAGAACAGTTAGAATCATGGAATCATAGAATAGTTAGGGTTGGAAAGGACCTTAAGATCATCTAGTTCCAACCCCCCTGCCATGGGCAGGGACACCTCACAAGAAACCATGTCACCCAAGGCTCTGTCCAACCTGGTCTTGAACACCGCCAGGGATGGAGCATTCACAACTTCCGTGGGCAACCCATTCCAGTGCCTCACCACCCTAACGAACTTCTTCCTTATATCCAATCTAAACTTCCCCTGTTTAAGTTTGAACCCATTACCCCTTGTCCTACCACTACAGTCCCTAGTGAAGAGTCCCTCTCCAGCATCCTTGTAGGCCCCCTTCAGATACTGGAAGGCTGCTATGAGGTATCCATGCAGCCTTCTCTTCTCCAGGCTGAGCAGCCATCCCGCCAGTTCTTTATCCACCAAGTGGTCCATCCATCAAATTGATGTCTCTCCAATTTAGAGACAAGGATGTTGTGTGGGACAGTGTTGAACGCTTTGCACAAGTCCAGGTAGATGACATCAACTGCTCTACCCTTGTTCGTCAGTTCCGTAGCCCCATCACAGAAGCCCACCAAATTGGTCAGGCAGGATTTCCCCTCAGTGAAGCCATGCTGGCTGTCACCAAGCACCTTGTTGATTTTCATGTGCCTTAGCATGCCTTCCAGGAGAATCTGCTCCAAGATTTTGCCAGGCACAGAGGTGAGACTGACTGGTCTGTAATTCCCCGGGTCATCCATTTTCCCCTTCTTGAAAATGGGGGTTATATTTCCCTTTTTCCACTCGTCGGGAACTTCACCCGACTGCCACAGTTTTTTAAACATGATGGACAGTGGCTTAGCAACTTCATCTGCCAGCTCCTTCAGGACCTGCAAATGGATTTCATCAGGTCCCATGGACTTGTGTACATTCAGATTCTCAAGATGGTCTCGAACCAGATCCTCTCCTACAGTGGGCCTAGGGTCTTCATTCTCACAGTCCCTGCATCTGCCTTCCAAGACTTGGGTGGTGTGGTCAGAGCCTTTGCCAGTGAAGACCGAAGCAAAGAAGTCATTAAGAACCTCAGCCTTCTCCAAACCCAGGATAGCCAGTTCTCCCGATAGCTTCCAGAGGGTGCCTATGTTGACCCTAGTCTGTCTAGTTGGAAGTGGGTGTCCTGTCTTCCAATGAGTAATGATGCCAGCTGGTAGAGAAGTGGTGAACTGAACAGCATCCATCAAGGTGCTGGCTGAGTGTCTAGAGCAACATTGGTGTATATGAAATGTCGTGCACTGGAGGAGGCAATGTCCTAATGACCTAGCAATTGAAATGGAGTGTGCAGAAACTATTTATCATGGAAATGCTCAAACTTTCGTACTTGGTTTGAATTATTTAAATACAATATACATGACATGGATTTCACAACAAATATTAGTAAAACAGACTTTAGATAGTAATAAGTTTATATGAAGTAACCTAACAAATGTAATGTTTATGTAGTAGGTAGAGCTGAAAAAAAGCATTAATTTAATACTTTCTAATTTGGTTTGTTCTCTGATTTTTGTTTCAGAACTCATACTTCACAAGGGTGTGTATGTGTTTAGTTTTAATTATGAGTTTACTGGGAATCTGCAAAGAAATATTTCAGCTGATTCAGCAGGTAAATACTTAGAGAAATAGAATTAATCAGACAGTGTGTTTGCATAGCAGTTTGTGTGATACTGAAATCTTTTTTTTTCCCTTTTAAAAAGGGAAATTCCAATTTACAAAAGATTAAAAAGGAGAAGAGGATTTGAATAGTGTACTGAGTTCAGTTGTTTAAAGGTGCATGACTTGTAAGTATGTATCTGTCTATCTCTCTTAAATCCTAGAAACTGAAATATTTGTTGGATTACTCCAATCTACTGGACTGGACAATTTATACGACAAGCATAATTTTTGTGTCTTCTTTATTTATTAATACACCAGCTCATTTGCAGTGGGAATGTGGAGCAATTGCTGTATATTTGTCTTGGATGAACTTCTTGCTTTACCTTCAACGGTAAAAGTTTTTAACAATTTACAATAAAATACTTTAAATATTTTCAGATATTTTTCATACCCTAAACCATGAATGATTGAGTGTGATAGCCATGTATTTTGTGAGTTTTTTTCAACCTATGCAAGTTTCCAGGTTAGGAATTTTTTAATTACCATAGGAAATTCTTTGATCTACAACACTGTAAAGTAGTTTTCAGTGCTTTACATATGGAGAATAATAGCATGTATTTTGGCAACTGAGGAAACAAGAAGAATTATTTTAATGTTAAGCAAAGCCACCACTTTTTAAAAATATGTTTCATTATTCTGTAATGACTTTTGCTTAAAAAAAAAAAAAAGGACGGGAGTTACAAGAGGCCAAAGGAAGCCTGTTTTTATAATACCTGGGAGAAGATAAATTCCTTTATCATTTCACAGATTAAATGGCACACCCTAATTTTCTACACCATATTGTCCATTAAAAGAATTACAAAGGAGGAAATTATTTCTTTAGTTGACACAAAGTCTATTTCTTGCTAATGATCTTAACAATGTTACTGGTACAATAGTGCCCAAGAGTTACAGACCGCAGGAGAGCTGGGTGGAGAAAAAAATTGTATCTGGTGCTTAAGACTAATAAATTAAACATCTTTGTTTCTGAGCATAAATGCCTTGCACAAAGATGAGGTGCGACTGATCAGCAAAAATGTGCTGATTTGGAGCTGTTCAGATAATAAGGATGACAGTATGTGACAACAGTGCATATATGCTCTTCTGATTTTTACTGTATATATGTACTAATCACCCCCATGAGGCCTGACAGACAAACACATCATTTGCTGATTAATTTCAGGATCATTTTACTGTAGTTGGAATGTTTGAGGACAAGTTTTGTGAAGAGAGTTAATGTCAGAGTGAGAATCTTTATGATACTGCCTCTGCTGGCAAACCTTGTCCTACACATGCCTGACCTTAGATGACTTATGAATGGGTGTGTCCTCCCTGCTGTGTACTGTATGCAAAATGGGGATTGAACCTAAATAGTAAAAAATGAATTCATGATTGACCAACATCCCTTCTTCTGCTAGATGAAATGCTTCCCTGGCCTGCATATTCTTCATTTGTATAGCAGTAGTACACATCATTTTTCTAACTCATTCAGGCCATCTCTTCTCAAAGCAACCTGTAGCTCCCTTGACTTCAATGGGTTTTGCCTAATAAGTACCTGATAAATAGGTTCACTTTACTTCCAAATAGATCTTTTCAGCCTTGCACATAATATTTCAGGGGGAAAATCCTGTGGTGGGATTTTCTCAGTGGCTACTGTTATAGCAAAAAACATTCATCTGGTCCCTGAATCTAGCAGAGGATACAAATTCCCAAATTCAGGTTTGGGGGAAAAAGTAGCTTAATCTGCTTTATGACAATTAATGTTCTGAGGTATAGTTTTTGTGTAAGCCAAGAGTGGGAGTTTGCCAGATGATAGACTGTTGTTGGAAACACCGATGTCTTAAAATTATACTGCTCCCCCTCTCTTCCTGAGAAGTCTGTTTCTTTTTGTTTGCTTGTTTTCCATACTTCATAGTGCCATAAAAAGAAAAATCTTTTTATATCAGGCATGTGGCCGGTAGATAGGTCTTGATGCCAGTTGTCCTTTGTTCTGGTTGCTAATTTGCTTCAAAAAGCAGCAAAAAAAAAGGGATAATTTTCTAATGTTTGTTAGCATTCCAAGTGCAACAGTTGTAGAATATTGTACGGTCTGTGGCTATAGAGAGAGTACATGTTGCCCACAAAAAATAGTATCTTGAAGAACTTCTGCTCTGGTCCATTAAAATATAAGATTATGTGGTTTAGGCTTGCTGTAAATAAGACCACTTGCATTGTTTTGGATGTGAAAGTACAAGATATTTGTACCATCTGAAAATGTCTCAGAGAGGCAAAATGTCTCTTTCACACATGAAAAATGACATTTCTTATGCCTTAAGTAACTGCAAAGGATTCTACCTTCAGTATTTAATAGTTTAGTGATGGACTAAACTATCTGGAATGCCAGATTAATGGTTGGACCCAATGATATTAAAGGTCTTTTTCAACCTAAACAATTCTATGATTCTGTATCTTTTCTGTTTACTTATCATTTAGATTTGAAAACTATGGTATCTATGTTGTGATGTTCTGGGAAATTTTGAGGACGTTGATACGGATTGCTGTCGTTTTCTTTTTCCTGATATTGGCCTTTGGACTAAGTTTCTTTGTCCTTTTGGGTTCACAGGTTAGTTAAATGGCATAATTAATTTTTTATTATTATAAATATTAATTTTTACTAAAGAATCTCAAGAGGTTATTTACAGATTTCATAAGTCCATGTTTTTTCTTGATTTTGATATTTCTTTTTGCAGCAAACGTATAGCACACCTCTGCTTTCTGTAATGAAGACATTTGCAATGATGCTGGGAGACATTAATTACCATGATGCATTCCTTGATCCATTACTAAGCAGTGAATTGCCATATCCTTTCCTGAGTTACACAGTTCTCATTATATTTACCTTGCTTATTCCAATCCTTCTTATGAACTTGCTAGTAAGTAAACTATTTATTAATACGTAGAAGTGGTTAAGCACAGGTTTATACACAGTTTTAGCATATAGCTAAACATAGCATATACTTTAGTGCTGATTCGTGACATTCATTTACTATGTAACAAATTGATATTTTCAGTAACATATTAAAAAGTTGCCTTTCCCTAGACTCCTTTTGCCTCCAGTTTGCTGTTTTATTTTTCCACAGTTAACCATTGCAGGGTTATGTTGCATATCTTCAGGTAGTAACCATGGTGGAATTTGAATTGGAGCGGCAATGTGTTATTATGAGGTCTTGATAAAGAAAATTAGGGAACAATGATTTTTCTTCAATCTCTTGCTGAATTATAACCTAGAGCTTGCAATATATTTTTTTATTAAGAAGCCAAACTCCAGATCTTTACTGAACACAAAGCAATAGTCAACAGTAGTATTAAAGCTAACTAATAAGCTTGACCTGGACAAAAAGAAGCCTAAAACATGGTAATGGAGATGAAGGAGGAAAACATGTAATACATTTTCAGCCATGTTCCATTCAACATCAATTTTATTAACTTTTTTTTAGCAAATCAAGTTTTTATATGAGCTGAGCAATAAAACTCAAACAATTCCTTTTTTTAAGTTAAGTTGTTTGTTGCTGCCACGATTCTATCCAATGAAGAAGTCAAGAAATTTTTTACGTAGCACCAATATTGAAGAATCAAAAAAAAGAGATGTTACTCTAGACAAATCTTTGAAGTAGCTCTTTAGTGCCTTACTGGAAGATGGATAGTTGGCATTAAAAAGCTATCTACATTTCTTTATGTGGATTTCCTAAATATGCACGTAAGGGGTGTGTTTCCAAATTCAAGTGAAACAAAATAAATTTAACTTTAGAGTCATTTTGGATTTAAATATGAATAAGAAATATAATTGAAATCACAGACTACAATAAAAATAGATAATTATATCTTTCTTGGCATTTTTAGATTGGTTTGGCTGTTGGGGACATAGCTGAAGTACAGAAATATGCTGCACTCAAAAGGATTGCAATGCAGGTAAGTAGTATACCACAGAAGCACTAACTATGAGAAGCATATATTGTTAGAACACCACTTATTTAATTAATTGATTTATATTCCTTTGCCATCAGAGTGCTCAGGAAGGATGTTGTCTTGCAATTTCAGATAGGACTATGAAATCATTACTATTAATGCTCTGTATGTTTAACAGAATTATGGTTGTCTGCAATAGGCTTATACTATACAGCCTGTTCTTCTAGATGCATATGATCCGTATTTCTGTACCAATTTGGTAGCATCTCCTGAACAAGCACTCATGTAACATATTTGTTTCTACCCAGGGGAAAACTTTTCTCACAGACATTCCACTGGCATCTTAATCTATACTGACTGTCCCAATCTAGTAAAAGGATATAGCACAATTAAACAGAGAAAGATTACTCTCCCATTATGATTTGGTCTTAAAACCTGTCGCTATAATAGGCCTTTTGTCTTGACTGTTTCTGCCTTGTAATTCTATACTGTGACCCACAGTGTACTAAGGAGCTATTTGAGCCATTGCACAGAAGTTTTGAAACCAGTTTAGTTATAAGAGTGCACATCCATGTATAATAATTAATTCTGTTAAGATAATCAATACTGCTATGACTAGATGATTTTAGTATCTGAGCTGGACTGTTGCAATGTAGCATAGATACTCTGAGACTTGACATCTAATAATAGTGATTTGAATATAATGACATGATGGTTATTTTCACGTGATAATATGTCTTTATCTTAAGAGAACATATTTTAAATGCAAAAATACGTTTAGGTTAATCTTCACACCAACTTAGAGAAGAAGCTACCATTTTGGTTCTTAAGTCGGGTGGACCAGGAATCAATTACTGTATATCCAAACAGACCAAGATACTGTGGATTTATGGTAAGATGGTGAATTTTAGAGTAAAGAATTCTTACTAAAATGTGATAAAATTGACATAACTTTGTGCACAGATTGCTAAGAACATCGCCTTAATAAGTCTCAATCATTAACTGACATCAGTGGAATCATGATAAGGCCTTAACTATTGTCAGTGAAAACGATAAATCAGTTTTAGTGCATCCTAACTTATTCAGATATAATTAGTGTTTGAATTCTCAGTGATCTGTGACTTTATTAAGCAAGACAAGCTACCAAAGTTATTCAGACAGAAAACAGAGTTACTTCCTTTTGGCATTTCTTCTTTTATTTGTTTACTTTTGATTTCAGCTGTTGTTGGTAGACAGATTTTCTGATTAAACAAATTTTGGAAAACAGATGTTTAATATACAAAAAATAATTTCATAGCTGAAACCTACTTTTTGACTTTAACATTGTGTGGAGACTGTTAACCATTCACTTATTTGGGATTTTTAATTTATTGTCAGACTATATTGTCTGATTTCAGTTTGGTTCCATGTTTTCTTTAGAGTGTGTTCCAGTATTGCTTTGGGTGTGAGGACTCTACCACAGATGCACAGAGCACTGACACAACATTAGAACTGGAAGTTCTGAAGCAGAAATACAGGTATTTATTGTGTTATTTTACTGCTGTAAAAATAAACAAGATTACAAATATAGTGCTATTTTTTAAAGTGTTCAAAAGGTCTATACTGTACCTAAAAAGTAAAATTCAGTGTATCTAGTGTCTTTAAGTAAGCTTTCACACTATGGTAACTTAGTATTTTGTATTCTGCAATGTATTTACCTTCAAAATACTTGTGTGGTAGAGAAATATTTTTATCCCATGGCAGAGAAAGATGACAGGCTTGTTTGTTCATTAAAGTAAACTGAAGTAATGTGGAAAATGCATTTTCATTTCAGAATTAAAAGTTTGTGTATGGAGGTTTTCAAGGGTTATTTTAAACTCACAATTGATGTAGTTCCAATTGGTTTGCAAATGCACACAATCTTTCCACTGGTCCGATGGTAAATCTGCCTCAGATTGTTTCCCCAAAAATGGGTTGGTGTCCTGGTTCATCTTTGAACAGATCATCTGTTTCGAAAAGCTGGGGAAGGAATTCTCTGTACTTATTTTCTTATTCATCTTACCAATATATCTGTTAAGAATCACTTCAGAAAAGCTGGGGAAATCTGTTCTTTCTCACTCTGTCTCATTCTCCCCTGTTCTTTTTCTCTCTCTTTTTATTCTGCCCCCTCCCCCCCCTTTTTTCTTTAAATCTATTAAATCCTTGTCTTGCTGCATAGATTCTGATTAAGTATTTTTTTGGATTAAGTACTCAACAAGAATTGAAGGAGAGTGAAAATGCACTCTACAGATGTAGGCAAACCATTTAGCAAGTCTTTTGCATCAGTAATTTTAATGATTTAATTTTTTTTCCAAAAACAAAGCCTGTTGTAAGCTGTATGCATATTTTTTCCTATTTTCTTTTTCTTTTTTTTTTTTTTTTTAGGCTCAAAGATATATCAACACTGTTGGAAAAGCAACATGACCTCATTAAACTAATTATCCAAAAAATGGAGATAGTGTCAGAGGCGGAGGATGAAGACAGCAATGATTTGTTTCAGCACAAGTTTAGGAAAAGGCAGTTAGAACACAAGAATAGTAAATGGGATACAGTGTTAAAAGCTGTTAAAACAAATGTGCCCAACCCAAGCACAGAAAAGAACAATAGCTTCTTCTAGACATGGCTGTGATATCATGTTGTATTATCATTCTGATTTACTTTAGGGTCACTTTTTTTCTCTTATTGTCTGTGGTCAATGTGGTACTTCATGTATACAAATATAAAAAAAGGCCAGATCCAAAAAAAAAAGGATGCAGGTGCTCAAAACAGTATTTAAGGAGACTTAAGATGTCTACATCCAAAACTGTGATCTTAACAGTGGCTGGCTAATCAGGAAAGTGCCTAACTCACAAGATGCCAACCTTGCTGTCCTGACAGTTCCCAAGGCTTCTGCCTAGATCTGTTTCTGGATTTGGTCCTAATACTCTTAGGTCTGTACTTAATTACAGTATTTTCTGTTACAAATATTTTTAGAATTTCTGAATTTTTAGAAATTTAAACTCTAATCATTTACTATTCAGATGTTTTGGGAAAGCCAATGGGCTTTACGTAGCTTAAAGAAAAAAGTAACAAGTAAGAAACTAACCTGACAGATTGCCTTGGAAGTTTTGCTGAGTAAGGACTGCAGGATCAGGCCTGAAAGGTAAGAAATAAAAAGATCATGGAACTGTAATGGAAGGGAAGGACAGTCTTCTGTAGATAACTATACACAGTTCTCAGAGGGATCATTTATGCTAGCATGCATACAGCAGCGATAAGATGACATGTTAAATATTAGTCATTTATAACTTGCTGCCCTTATACTGCTAATGTAATTTTGACATTCCTGATAACCTAAAATTGACCTTGCTACTTTAATCTGCACTTTGGTTTTATTATTTATTTACTGGATATTCAGTGCGTTATGTAATATACAGTAATATGTCAAATAAACATGAAATAAGCTGTGTTTAAGTACCTGAGTATAATTGTTTCAAAGCCAGTGCTAATAAACTAGTTAATGACTATATGTGGTTGTAACAATCTGTGGTCTGCTTTTGAATTCAGACAGTCTTTAATTCTTCATTGTCCTGGGTTCAGCAGTAGCAGTCATGTTTCTCCTTCATGGTAGCTGGTGCAGTGCTGTGTTTTCACTGCCAGCCTGGGAACAGTGCTGGTGATACCGATGTTTTCGGTTGTTGCTAAGTGATGTTTACCCTGACCAAGGACTTTGTGAGGCTCATGCTCTGCCAGGGAGGAGGGGAAGCCATGAGGAAGCAGAGATGGGGCGCCTGACCCAGGCTAGCCAAAGAGGTATTCCATACCACAGCACGTCATGCCCGGGGTGGGGGGTAACTGGGAGTTACCTGGAAGGACACGGGCTTCTGGGTCGGACTCGTTTCTTGGCCGGTGGTATCGTATTCTCTTCCCTTGTTATTTTCTCTTATCATTGCTGTCGTTGGTGGTAGCGGTGGTGATTTGTGTTGTACATTGGTTGCTGGACTGCTCTTGTCTCAACCCATGGGAGTTGCACCCTTTTGATCCTCCTCCCTGTTCCTCTGGGAGCGGGGAAGGGGAGAGCCCCAGGGTGGGGGGGGGCCTCGATTCCTGTCAGCCCAGCACCACTCACTGGGAGTGAGTGAACAAGCTGTTTGGCTAGGGTTTAAACCACGACAGTTCTTTTTTGGCACCCAGCGTGGGGCATGAGGGGTTGAGATAACAACAGATCTGACTGGATTAATAGTCACTCATCACAATGCTGATTTATTGGCTCTCAAGGTTATTCCTCTTGATCTCAGAGTTTCAGTATATCGTATCTTACTTCCATCCGGTATTTGCTGTATTAAGTGCTTTTCAAGTGTGGGGCTTGGGCTAAGGTTTTTGTCTCATTGTACTTTATGGCAATGACTTGTAATACAATAGAATCATTGATAATGAAACTGATCTGGCTTATGTTCCCAGTGTGGTCACCACCTTTATACTTTGGGAGGTATATAATAGAAGTGCTTAGCAATTGCACATCTTTTTTTCTCCTTCTCAGGTGCTCAACCTTACCCTCCCAGTTCTCCCCCCAGACCATTTACAGCATCGAGAGTTTTGAAGTTTTTGAATGGCCTTTTAATGCTGTTGAGACTTGTTTGCTGATCATGATGGGAATCACCATGCTAGCACGCATACAGAGTGTGTTTTGCCCACGACTGATTTCAAGAGTTAAGCAGAGTCAGGTTTGGGTCTTGTCTGGGGTCAAATGATGATGTAGGAGGACCAAGAGATTTTCCCTGAGGCTGGACAGCCATGAGTGGCAGGGTGTGTGGGATAGTATGGGCAAGTACCTAGGCCAGTGGGCCCCTCCAGGACTTTGGAATTTCACCACCGAACAACTGCAAAATCCAGAAGAATTAGTAAAACACTTAAATGAGGTGTGTGGTCATTCTGGCCATACCAGAGATGGACAAATCATGGCAACGTGCTGGGGCTTGGCCTATGCTTACAGGGCCTTGTTCAACACTATCCAGCACCTTCAAAAGGAAAAGAATGTCGGTGGATCTGAGGGCAAAGCAACAGTCAGCGCAGCTACTCCAGCCCAGCACCCACAGTACGGTAGCCATCAAACCAGTGCCTGATCCCCTGCCTGGAGCAACAGGCACAGCTCGCAGTGGCCACCAGCTCTGGGTGACAGCTGTGCCACAGGGGGCACAGCAAGGTAGAGTGCCAGCCCCAGGACAGCCGTGCCGGGCTCCTCTCCTCCACAGCACTGGCAGAGGAGATGAGCCAGAACCCACCACGGGGACAGCCGTGCAAGAGGGGACCATGGTCCAGGCCAGTGGCAGGGGGTACAAGGGTAGCAGTACTCAAGGACCCTGCCTGCCACAAGAGCTGTTCCCAGCACTGCACACCCACCCCATTGGAAAGAACAATTGTGATTCCTATTTATTTAAAAGGTTGCCATGAGAGGGTAATTCACATTGAACAGAACTTGTGCAATATTCAGAAGACACAGGAAGATGCGCTGTGTATTAGAGAGACTTGTGCCTTAAAACTGCCATGTATGGCAACGCTGTTCAGTAAGAAAAATGCTTTGTAGCCCAAGTGTTTATCCCCAGTTTTGAGGCTAAATCCTTGTCTTGTAAAATAGAGAAAGGAGGAGGTTATTGCTAGTTTTGCCTATTCAATTATAATTACTAAGGTGAGCAGTTGCTTAATATGAAGTGATGGAGCATTTGGAGTTTGTTTCTCTTCACTAGACAGATTCATTGATACCTTTAAATCCTGTGGCATAAATCCACACCACTTGTAACTGAGATGTTTGCTGTTAAAACTGCAGTCCTGTTCTGGGTTTGCCTTCCAGAATCCGCACAGGCATTTTGCATTTGAGTGTGACTGCAATAGGTGAGTTATGAAAGTTTGAGGCAGAAAATAATCAGTTGGCTACTCCATTCAAATGGCAAATTGGGGGCATGGACATAATGCATCGCTGCATGACCGCGCCCACAGATATGCTCCTGGGTGCCCTAGAGGCCCCATCCTGAAGTCTGCCTCTGCTGTTGAGGTCTGGTGTGTACCGCCGCTTTCACATACCCAGGTGGAAAGAAGTGCTTTGCACAGACAGTGGAGCATAATGGTGTCTCCAGTTTTCTCTTGGCAATGAGGGAATAGGGAATGTGTGCTGCAAAGCACACTGCGTCTGCCCTGCATGCTGCAGCAGGAGAAGCTGTAGGTTCAGCTTCAGTGCTAAGCCTAGTGTGACACAGTGAGTCAGGGAGAGAACCAGTAAGGAGAGTCAGGATCAAGAAAGTAAAATTGAAGGTAACTGTAATCATTGAAATTGTGCTGTAGCCTCTAACCTCTCATCTGTTCCTGTGAATAAACTGGATGGACTTCTGAGCTACTGTGCATCTGCAGCTCCCTCTGCCAATGGAAACAAGAATGTCCACGTTCTTGGGATAAGGCTGAGCTTGAAAAAGGTAGACTTTCTTTTTTTCCTTTAATGGCAGGAAAGTAATTTTAAATTCCTGACAATCTGTACCATTAACACTAGATGGCAGTGAGCGATAACATGTTTTAGTAAGTAAATTTAGCCTAAATGCATAGTTTTAATTGACAAGGAACAGGAGTACAGTTACAGCAGAAGCAAAGTAGTCAGCATTCAAGTTTTAAAGATTGAGCCTTTCAAGCCCCATTAAGCAGAACTCTGAGCCATTTATACACAGCAACTCTTCAGCCTTTCTGAACATTTAACTCACAATTTGAGAAACGTTTTCCTTCCTCCCCTCCCTCTCCTGCCCCCCTCGTGCTTCACTTCTTTCATTCATTTAGCTGCTGTCATTATGGTGGAAAATAGAGATGACCATAACCACCCTTCCTACATACACATCTGAAGCTGACCCTAATGCTGTTGCATAGCTTGCCTGCATGGTTTTGGTTTATTTTCTTTTCTGTGACTTAGCTGTAGCAGGCTCACAGCCTATCAAAATTCTTAGCATCTACTCTTCCACGGATTAGTGTGACTGGACAGCTTGGACATCCAGTGTGGGTCTAAATCCAGTGTAGGATCAGGTTTAAGAAGACAATGCACATCATCGCATAGAGAAGTGAATTTGGCAGTACCAGCACGTCTGCCAAACTCCACAGTGTGTTATAACACCATTTGAAATGTAAATGCATTTAGAGATTTAATGAAAAATTGCCAAATATACATTGTTTACTGGGCAGTTTGCATACAAGTAGGTAGTTTAATAGATGTGGTTCTGGGCAACCTGATCTAGTTAATGGTGTCCCTGTTAATTGCAGAAGGGTTAGACTAGATGACCTTTGGAAATCCCTTCCAACCCAAACTGTTCTGTGCTTCTATGATTCTATGCTAGAACCTACCAATGCATTGGTTTAGGTAGTTGCTCCTATGTTTGTTATGCATTATCAGGCTACTACCATCAGGATAGATGGCAGAGAACTGGTAATTTCTGCTGTGGTGGTAGCAGGACTGTATAAATTGAGGGTAGAAGAAAATTTTATGGTGGTTGGGAGATAGAGAGCATGTGTTCATTCAGCCACCCTTGGGTGCCTACAGAGCAGGACTCTCATGGTGCTGTGCAGAAAGAAAATTGGCTCATTCCTGGAAGAAAGCACAGAAGTTTAAAGAAGGTGTTTCCTGCAGTTTAAGGTAAAGATTAAATTAGAACCCAGTCTTTCAGCTTCACGAGGGTGCAGTTCTCAG